GCGCGCGAAGCTCTATAAGACTTTCCTGATAACAGCTTGTCAGAGATGATTTGCAACGGAGGAAACGTGAAATCGGATTTACGATTTGGAGGAGAACGATAATATATGACGCATCGCGAAGAAGGTTCAGTCCGAGAAAACGCGCGGATCATATGCATCTCGTCGACGTGTAAAGATTACACATCTCTATTCCATCTCCGCCGCGAATACGATTAACCATTTTCCCACCACGTTACATATCACGAGAGTATTCTGACATTACTCATTTGCAGCTGGCGGCTTTTTCACGCAGCTGTGAACGCAACGCGCCCTTGCACGAAAGCTCGGTAAGATTCAGCCATCTCCGAGATTTATGACAATAATATATGCATTCGCGTTATAATTATATCGGATCGTCACAATTTTGTCTTCCTATATTTTTTCTCTTCTTCTATTTTCTCTTCTGCTTAATCGGATATATCATGTATGCAGGAATTTCATGTTGCAAGATATTTTCTTCAAAACTTGACATTGTGCCAATAATATTTCAGGTAAAATTGATAGGATTTTGAGAGGGAACAAAGTTGACAATTTTGAATTTTAACTAGGAAAAATATGGATTTACAACAAACGGTTACATATTTTTTATTTAAAAAACAACCATTTATTTTTTTAGATTGATTTCTCTTATTTTACAGTTTTTGGATATAAAAATTTGAGGCAACATAGTAAAAAAAATAAATATTTTACAATTATATTTCAATTGTAGTTTATGTAAAAAATTATGTTGAATTAAGATATAAAATATCTCAAATTACATACACAATTTTTGGTCAGGATATTTTTATGTCGAATATTCCAAGAAATAGATTTATATAAAAATTAAGATGATTTCATTTAAAAAAACTAGAAGTTGCACAAAAAAATGATCTAATTATAGCAAAATTTCTATCAAAAATAACTAGAATAAACGATTAGTAGCATATTGTTACGAATCAATCTTGAAAAAGAATATCTAAGTTTAAAAAAAGTGTCTATCATATTATAATATATTTTAAAAAAAAAAAAAAAAAAAAAAAAAAAAAAAAAAAAAAAAAAAAAAAAAAAAAAAAAAAAAAAAAAAAAAAAAAAAAAAATGAAATCTTGAAAAATGATTCTAGTTAAAATTCAAGGTTATCAACTTTTTTCTCCTATCAATTTTATTTGGAACATTTCTTACACAAATATCAAGTTTTGAAGAAAATACCTTATAACATTTTATATAAAACACCCTGTATGAAATATTTATCTTCATGTGACATTTTCCAACCGATAGTTTAAAGATAAAAAGAAATATCTCTGGGGATTTCCCCGATTGCGATCGATTGAATGTTGAGGTATACAACTTAAAATAAATAAATCCCAGCATTTTTGGAGATCTAACTTGCGCGATCGGAAAGAATAAATAAATCGTCATGTAAATTCTCATAAATCCTTCGTACGGCTACCATCGCATTTACATTCAACATACTACACCCATAAATTTTTATCGACTGCATTGACGAACTGGCGATTCTCTCCCCCGAGTCCAACAATGGACATAAATTCCACGGCGCCCTTTGTCAGGGCACTTCCATTCTCGCTGGGGACCTCCTTTTTATACGCGAGGGCGCGATTATTTATACTCGTACCGAGCTGCAGCGGAACCGATCGCGACGATTCATCATTTAATAACCTTCGTTATCGGAAAGGGATATTCTCGGATTAAAATTTCATTTAAACGTTAATCGCAAGAGACACAGGGTGCCTCTCCATCGATTTCCTAAACGCTACGCGATTCAAAATTAGAAAAAATGATGGGATCTTATCTTGAAGTGCTCGATTATTATATAATGAATCGATTATCGATATAATGAATTTATTCTCGCGCGCAAGCAGATGAATTAAGTTTATACGTAAATCTCTCAGGCAGAATCCTTACACAGAAAAAAAGGATGTATTCTTGTTTTGAAAATATATTTAGTTTTAACATGGAAATTTTGAAATGAGATTATATTGCGTTAATTAAAGAAAAATATAATTCCTTGAATAATTGCTTACTTGAATGAAGCCATTTTATATAGTTTAATCAAGAAAAATATATAATTCTTATGATTTAAGATTTAATTTTTTGAATGAAAAAGAAACAACGTTGGAAAAACATAACATTTTTAAATCAAAGATTATAATTTTCTTAAAGTAGAATTAAATAATTATATATTCTTGAAGTGACAATTACAATATTAAAATAAGACTGTAATATTGAAATTTAAAATTATTAAATTCTTCGAAGAAGATTATAAATTGTTGCGTATATACGAAACAATGAAGTTACTTTTAGTATATAAATTTTGATTTGACACTTCTTTTTTTTCTGTGTACGTATTGCAAGATTTTTGATACTTCATCCGTGATAGTCCATATCTCAAGCTGTATGCTAATCATTGGGAATTGCGTATTTGAAGAATAAAGACGAGCTGTGTGATGATTGCTATCTTATTTACAACGAACGAGTCGCCGAGATTCACGCGTGGCAATTTACATACTTGCGCTTACTTCTCAGAAAGGTCATCGATACAAAGAAACTCGTGATTCATACCTGATTGCAACCTTTCCAGCACAAACGCGTGATTGTCACGTCGCAATTTACGCAATAGAGTTTACGACAAAATGCTGTTTTACAGGGGTATTAGAATCAAATAATCGACAGCCGTCCTAAGATTCTATTGTTTTCTTTATGTCCTATTTTCTGTCATGACGAAGAGTGCATCGCCTTGAAAAATGTGTCAAGGGTGACCAAATGGTTTGAAAAAAAAGGCAAAATCGTATAAAGTAACATGAAAGAAGGTAAATATAATGCGAAGGCTTTAACGTAATATAGATTAATACATCCCTGTTAAATTAAATATATAATTCTTATCGCATAGTCGCATCATATTACGTAATTTTTCTGATAAGTAGTCATATTTATTTATCGATTTTCGATATTAAAGATAAAATGTACTCCGCATGGTCTTTTGAACGTTAATGAATATTGCTGATCATTGCAGTGTTCATTTTCACAATCAAATTAACGATGCAACATCAAAAATTATTTTCATTAAAAAATCACATGTCATAAATAAAATCATACAGTATTATAATTCTCATATTTCTCTGTTTTATATTAATATTAATTAAAGTATATTATGTACAAAAAGTGTTTTAAATTTTGAAATGATGTATTATATTAAATAATCGAGATTTTAATTATAAAATATGAAAATTAAAATTATATATATCGTCTACACAGCAATATAACAAAGAATACTTGTAAAAATGTTAAATTTTTAAATAAAATTTAATTTTTATATTTGCAAAAAATAGTTATATGAGAATTTTTTAATTTAGAAAGTATTCATAAAACATATTTAACATACATCAAACATAAAATATGTATCAAATGCAGCAACCCGTTCATTATTAATTCAAATGTGACTTGCGGAGCTTGAGATCTATTCTTGGAATAAGATCGCGACAATATTATAACGAACAAAGAAATTCTGTCCGTGGTTATAGAATTCTCTGAAAAAAAACAAACGACGCGGATCATCTTGTCCAAACGACAGGTACATGTATTGCAAACAAAATCGCGCGATGGCGATCAGTTACGTCATGTGATCATGAAAGTACAATAAATATTGTGTGGTATAAACAAAACATCTCAAACATCGACCAAATGTGAATGTGTCACAAGATTCGTTCATCAATTCCTCTGTCGTTAATCAATCGCAAAAATTTTTTTTTTCAAATTATATAAAAATAGTAAATATATAATATAATCGATCGATTTTATAAATTCATAAATGCAGTTTTTCGTGTGTTTGAATATTTTCAATCGATGTATAAAATTTATGTTGTTCGGATATATTATATATTTTTCTTAAATATTATATATATTTTATCTCTCTAAATTAATTTTATTATCTTTTAGTATCTTTTACTTCTAAATGTGTGTGTGTATAGCAAGAGATATATAATAAAAAATATATATATTTATTTTATTATTTATATATATACCTATATTTATTATCTATATGTATTTATATTCATATATATATCTATATTTGTGCGTTTTGTTCGAATATAATATACTTCTTAAATATTTCATATATTGATTATGATATATATAATAAATATATGATATATATATATATATATATATATATATATATAATAATTTAAATGTGTTGAAAAATATTGAAAAAAAATGTTGAAAAAAACAGAGATTATTTATATTTACTTATTAATAACATAATATTTATTTATAACAAAATGGAGACAATAAATTTTTATGACACACGGTTATTAAACAGAGATTAAAATTTCACAATCAGTGCGATGAGAAGGACTGAATCTAAATCACAGATGAAATTATAGATTTGAATTTTCATGTATAACCGTGCGTCTAAAAAAATGATATATATATATATATATATATATATATATATGATTGTTATCGCGTGAATTGGCGCGAATCTCGCGGGTGTCGTTTCTCTTCATACCTTTCAAAATCCTATACATGAAATTAGCATTGAAATAAATATAAATTTCATTTCTGACATTGAGAGAGGCACGTACACGTATGTACACACGACAAGCGAGAAAAATATCAACCGTATGTAAATGAAATGTCGAGATAAATCGACCTTGAAACAGTACATTGAAAAGCGTACACAAGCGCGGGATTATTTCCTCTAACGTCAACTTCACGGTACTCGTTATCGGTTACTATTCGCATCAATAGTAACTGAAATTAAAAATCGAATGCGAACAAACGAAATGACAGACAGTTAATCCAAGCGTCTGTTGTCACTCTGCGTGTATCAGAGACATCACACATGTATACATGGCAAGTGACGACACACAGATATCGTTGCGAGAGATAAAAAGTTAACGACACCCGCGCACGTAACAGAACACGCAGGTAGCGTGCATGATGAGAAATTGACGGCGTGACTCACCTTGACTGTCGGCGTACGCAGGAACCACAATCGCGAGCAGCAACACCGAAAAGACCAGCACCAGTTTGCACCTCACCGTCGCACCGCCACCACTGCCACCGCCGCCGTCGTCGACGACGCGTCGAGAATCGCGCGCCATGTTCCTGAGACTCGGACACGGCTGGCTGACTGACTCGCTGCTGATCAACGCTGCTCGCAGACTCACGCGAACGTCATGACAACGCGCTCCCTCACGCACGCCTCTTCGCACGTTGGCCGTATCGCGTCTGTCGCTCGCGCGTGCACACACCACACTCTCGTTACCGACCACCCAACCCGACTGCCACCGCTCGCGCCGACCGTTGCGACAGCTCTGAAGTCGGCCGCGACCCCCACTCCCGCCGTCGACGCGTCGCCGACCCGAGGCGCCGCGGAAACGCTCGAGCGCGCACGATCGCGAGAGCGCTCGAATTCAAATACGTCCGCGATCAATCGATCGCCCACAAGGTGTGATTTTTGTGACGTTTGACTCCAGAAGAGATTTTTTTCAAAGCTCACGCATCGAAAGATTTTGAAAACCTTCATTCTTTAGCCACTACGATATTTTTAATTATTTGAAAAAATATTTTTATTAAAAAATAGCATTTTTATTTCTTAAATTATCTCTAAAATATTATTTATCTCTATTATTTATCTCTAAAATCACATATTAAATATAAAATGTAAATATTTTTTGTAATTGGAAATGAGTAATAAATATATTAATTATAAATATCCATGCTCTATAAATTTTTGTTTACACATATATTTCAAAGCAAGGAATAAATATATTAATTATAAATTTATATTTCCATATCGAGAAATTTTCTACTTGTATATACATTTTGGTGTATGAAATAAATAAGAAATATATTAATCAATATATTATCGCAAATTATTTCTTTCATAATGCGTTTATATATTTTTTAATGTTATTTATTGCATAAAGTTATTTATAAGCAATATAATCTCTTCAGTTCTACAATAATATTTAAAGAGGTAGAAAGAAATCTGCAGATATGGCGATAATAAATACTTCCGATGCAAGTATTGATCAAACTTTATAGATGGATAGTGTGTTTTATTTAAATCCACAACTCTATAGAAAGTGATACTTCTTAAATCAGCTAAAGGAGGAATGTTATCTGCTACCTACGATAGAGAAAGTGAAAAGAATTAACAAAAATAATCGTAAATAAATGTCAAGTGAAAGAAATACCAGTAACTGAGGAATTGGCTTGGTTCTTCTAATAGTAAAAAGAATATTACTCTGAAATACACTTGTTAAAGCAGCATATAAACAATAATTACAATTATTGCTTCTGAAAATAATTTTATATTGCTTTCCTTATATCAATAAAATATTTCCAAACAGTTAAATATTTCCGGAAATCCGAATGGCAAAATAACAAGAAAAATTTTACGCTTTTAAATCGCCCGAAGCAGCTGTTAAATTTGGAGAAAATCTCGACAAGTATTTTTATTTATAAATAAAAGTAATCTATAGGTTTTTCACCGATTCTTAATAGATATGTTTATGAGGCGCTCAATTTTGTTCGCAATCATGTGGAATATATCCATCTGTTCCAATTATATGAAGAAATTGAAATCAAAGTCAAGAAGAGTAAGTTGGTGATCGCAATTTTTTATGTATTCATATTTGAGATATAAAAAATATTTATTTTTCACAGGATTGACGGAGAAAGAATTGCACTTAAATGTTCATCATAATCAGAAGATTCACGACATTCAGAACATTCACTTCCATTTCATATTGATGAAGATTCCAACATTCCTTGATGAACTTCCAACGTTTGAAAATTAAAACAAAAAACATAATGATTAATGAAATTTTCATTAACATTACGAAATACGATTATTTAATCCATGAAATATATTTTAATGTTCCAACTATATGTTTCAACTATATATTTTCGGCTTTAAAAATAATAATTTTATAGTAATATTTCATATTTTAATTAATTCGTATATACAACTTTTAATATTTTTCGATAAATTATTTTTATAAAGTTTCATAATATATTGCAATAGTGTATTACGTAGTATATACCTTGTCTTGTGTTTTTTTTTCAAGTATTTTGTTTTGTATATGAGAAATATTATCATTTTACTTCATATGTGATAATTTCTCAGGCAAACATAAATCGATGCATTACTCATAGTACAGATGTTCAACTCGCTTTTTCGATATGGTATTTATGCATAAGATATTCCGCCTCAAGATAAGGAAGTTCAAACTAGAAGAGATAACTATACAAACACAAAGAATCTCAAAACGTTCACATCTGGTTTGCCAGATAGGCAGGATGAAAATCAAATGTTATATCGTTTTTGAAAGTTGAACACATAAAATTTTAGTCAATTTCTTAGATAATTAGATGATGTTGTGTACATATAAATAAATGTTTCATCAAGGAATAATACTCACATGTGATACGCATTAATAAAGTAACAGAACAAAAATATATTTTAATAGAAGCACATATTTATAGTATGAAAAATAATCATATGTGCGATTACATTCATTCTAAATGAATATTAATATATCATTCTAAATGAATATTAATATATCTGAAATATTAATATTATTTTATTATTATGATATTGTGCTTTACAATTAATATATTGTTTTACCATTAAATCTTAAATGTTAAATTTGTAATTTTTACACCAACTAAGAAACTTATATTACAATTATTATACACGTTATTATTATATACACAATACAATTAATACACTTTGCTTACATTTTCAGATGCTGTAGCTATTATACAGAAGAGGATGATTTCCCGCAAAGCTTCTCTCCTTATTTTTCTACATTTCTTTAAAACACACACTTTTTCAAAAACGTTGAGAATAAAAGCTGTCATTCTATTACATCCAATATTTTTGAAAAGCATTTCTTCTTAAAAAGAACAAAATGATAACAAAAGTCGTGCGATATTTGTATATTGAAAAACAATTCAACAGATAATCGATATAATACAAAAAAGACTAAAAAAGAAATTTCTCTAATCCGTATCTCAAATATGTTGAAAACTGCCACCACCAATGTGATAAATGTGTCGATTAAAATAAAAAATAAAATTTTTCAAAAAAATTACTTTTAAATTTAAATGTTTTTAGTTACTTTAAATGTCAATATTATAATGGTTCGTCGTGTTACCGGGTTTGGAATAAGATATTGTCATTAATCATATAAATGATATAACATTTATGTTGAATTAGATGACTTAAAACCAGCTTATTGATTATTTACCACTGTAATATCATTCACATTTCGAAATCATCTGAACATCTACAGTAATAATTGTCCCAATGTTAGGTGGAGTCATCGGAAAACACTGGCAATTATACTTGTTATACATTATCAAAACATTATACCTAACATTTGTTGGAAGTCATATCTATAATACTTGGGATCAACGTATAGTATTGTAATAATTAATGGAAAACAATTACGATGGGCGGCAGAATACGTCGGAATAGTGTAAACATGGTCTAAAGTCTTAAGTTGCAAGATATACGTTTGTGTTTCATGTACACAAATCTTTCTCACAATACATATATATATATATATATATATATATATATATATATATAATATGTATTGTGAGAAAGATGGAGAGATGCACGTATGCTTGGAATATGTTATATATGTATATAACTTGTCAGAGATCGGTATTGAAATATAATTTAATCTACAAAATGATTTTGTATTTTATCATACCAAAAGTTCTAAAGTGTTCTAAAGTGCTTTATGTCAATTACCTTCATTAATCCTTCATCGCAAATTATGATTATTCATCCTCAGGATCCTATCAAATCCCAATCAATTCATTAGTAATTTGTAAATATTATATATGTGTATATATGTATGTATATATGTATATATATATATATATATATACATATATATACATATATAATACATGAGCTCTAATTACAACCAAATTGGTAAAATAAAAATTATAACAAGTATAAAAGTTTTAAATAAGTGATCACAAATAATGATACTTACATAAAGATTTCTTTCTTTAATGATAATCTATATTTTCTCCAAGACTTCATATTGAGACATCTGTTCTGCGCCAACAACTGTAGCAAGTTCTGGAGATAACATGATGGCGCAATCAAAGTGATACTGAGAAACCGACTTGCCTTTACCATTGCCATCATTCTTTCCTGTATTTTCTAAAGCCTTTTTGTTTTTATCACACAGTCCTCACTATTATCACTTCCTTTCTTTTCCCTTTTCTTTCCATGCTCACCTACACCTAAAAGACATTTTTTAAATAGGATTTTGAGCCAAAATAATTCAAAATAATAATATATAAATGACGAAAATATATTTTACATTTTTTGAGTAATCTCTTTATTCATTTTTCTAGAAATATTTAAATTATATGTAAAACTAGTATTATAAAATAAATATTTAATTTCTGACACTGAGAAAAACACGTATCACAATAACCGAGAAAAACGTTAAATATATATAAATAATGAAATGTAGAAGTAAATCGAATGATGTTGATTTAACAAACAAATGTAAGATTATTTTCTTTCTAATATCAACTTTATATCACACAGTGCTCCTTATCATTCTATTATCATTACTATTCATTCCAATATCAAAAATCGAATCAGACGAAATGACAGATACTTAATCAAAACATCAGACCGATTACTGTCACTGTATATGAAAAGTAAACATGCATGTAAACACGGCAAGCAACGATCACGATAAATATCATGGAAAACAAAAACTAATGACATTCGCGTATATAATAGGACATGTAGTATGCGTAATGAGAAATTCACGACGCGAATCACCTTGATTGCTGATGTACGCAACAGGACGATGATGACTATGAGGAACAACATCAAAGAAATCAGCATTGAGATGTACCTTACCGATGTACCATTTCCATTGTCATCGTCAACGACGGTGTTGGTACGATGATCGTAGAAAATTCCGCACCATGTTCTTGAAACTCGAGGCTGCTAAAACGTTAGCTCATCCTCTGCTGTCGACGAAATGTCACAGAAACGGCCGAGCACGTGTTTAACCTAACCTAACTGACTTAGGTCCGGTTGCACCAACATTAAGCCGGATCTACATTGGTCGTATCGTAACGTCGCAAGTCGTAAACAGAGAGAATATTGAGAGATGTCATGGCCTGCTTTTAGGTGATCTCTGAAAGCGATACTCCCTCTATGGACATTGAAAACGTGGATATGAACTACAAAGCCAATGTCCATAAATGTTCACAGAGGGTAATATATAATGTGCACAATTTTCGGTTTTGTTCCGTGCTATGTGCACGAAATGTCAGTAGTATCAATGCTGTATAAACAAGATATTTTTATGTATGTAAATTGATAGTAAATAAATTATTCAATCGCGAAAGATACTGTACTATTCAAAGATGAAATAAATATTTTTCTATATTCATTGTCATATTTATATCTTTTTATTTACAAAACACAAAATGCCTGCTGTGGGATAAAAACATTTTTAATTGTATTTCTATAAATCTTCTTAATTATCAGTAAACTGATCTTTGATATTTATCAATCATTTTTTTAATTATTTAAAAATCTAATTATTAATATATGTATAGAATTTGTCAAATTAATCACTGATTCCTCTGAAGTATTTATAATTAAGACTCGAAAAATATAGATGTTGCATAATATTTTAAGTCTCTTCCTTTATATAAAATATAAAGAATTTATATGCTAACACTATTTATATTTTTATATTTTTATTATAATTTTCATACCAGCATAATACTTTTGTGCTTAATACTTTATATAATACAATGTACTAAATTACAAAATTTAATATAATTACAAAATAGTATTACTATTAATATTACTATTAATAAGTAGGTTGTATGCATACTGTCTTTTACTTTCTAATCATTTCCAATCATTATGCATTTCCATCCAATATATTTTCTTCTTCGAGTTCTTGGATTATTATGGTTTATCGTATTCCTTTGTGTAAACATCATAAAAATTACCATCACTTGTCATGCTTATTCTTTCCTATGGTCCATCGGAATACTTTCTATGAACATTTGTTCTCAGATATAGATTTTATAATATAAAATTTATTAAAAAATTTTACATAGTCCAGACAAGATTAGCGATGATTAATCCCTAAGATTATTGGAATTTTAATATATTTTCTTTAGCGTTAAAGGAATATTAAAAAAATTTTAATGATCACCTAATAGCCCTAACAGTTCTTTTTTTTAACGTGGGGAAAATGCACACCCTTATTTAGCAGTCCCATCGGGATAGTATTGAGCTCTCACATACATAACATTTCATATTACATAAGTATATAAAATTTCGCAAAAAAATTCGTATTATAATTCGTAATAAAATTGGCATATATTCCAATTAAATATATGTTTAACAGCAAATATAATTGCTGGACATTTATTATTAATTCTCTTAAGATCTTCTGGATTTGTAAATTTAGACTTTTAAGCTGAACAATATATTAATAAAATTGGCAGCGCCAAGTTTTTTTAATTAAAATTTTTTTTACTATTTATCTTGTACAAATTTTTATTCTTAGTTGGCGCAATTTTTTTATATCACTATTTTTGTAGACAATATAACAGTTGGATACAATTAGTGCATGAACTTGGCGCCCTTTTTTTACCTTTTTAAAAAGGTAAGTTTTTGGGGATTATATTATTATAGACATTGCCTTTTTGAAGGTTGAAGAACGATTTGAACACTTAAAAAATTTTCATGACTGATTTGGGTTTTTAAATAATATAAAGGAATTTAATAAGGAAAATAAAGATTTTATACTGAAAACATGCATGGACCTACAAATAAAATTAATCCTTCATTCGAAGAGTGTGATATCGATGCGATAGAACTAATTACAGAAATCGAAAATGTTTCAGTTTTCTTTAAAGGTGAACTTAATGCTTTCGATGTATTGCAACTTATGATAAAAAATGAATTAACCACAATATTTCCAAATATCGCTTTCAGAGATCACCTAAAAGCAGGCTATGACATCTCTCAGTCTTCTCTCTGCTTGACATTTGCGAATAGTTAATAAGCTGCTTTGCTCTGATTGGTCAATCCATAATTATAAATCGGAACCAACCCTGCAACCTGCTATGTAAAATGGGCTTTAAGAAACGTCTTAAAATACCAATACGTGCTCTGTGATTGGTTTATAACCTCTAGAATTGTATTTAAAATGTTTTAAATATAAGAACGGACTGTGAATAGCGAACGCAAATTCAAATATGCGTGCAATAATTTGATGGTTGACAAAGCGTGATTTTTATGATTTATAATTTAAAAAAGTATTTCTTCAAAGCACTGATGCATCGAAAGTAAGATTTTGAGAATTTCGATTCTTAGCCTACTACTAATTTTTTCATTATCTGCAAAAATATTGCATTTTTATTTCTTCAATCAATCTACATAATAGTATTAAATACGTAATTGTAGTTTAATAAAGCTAAATGTAGTCAAACAAAACTACAGAGTTATTAAAAATATAAATACATATTTTTAAAAATTGGATTTGTGACTAAAGTTTATGTTCGGTATACACATGTTTTGATATGTGAAATAATAAGTTATAAATATATTAATCATAAATCTATTATCCATGCTTGATATAATTTTGATTTATATATATATATATATATATATATATATATATATATATATGTGTGTGTGTGTGTGTGTGTGTGTGTGTGTGGACAAGCATGCGCGCGTAAACTATATTTTTTACACACATATATATATATATATATATATATCTTAATACGTGAAATAAGGAGTGACTATATTAATATTAATAAACATATTAATTGATACATTAATCGAAGATTATTTCTTTTTGGAGTGCGGTATATTTTTCATATTAATGTTTATTGTATAAAGTTATTTATGAGCAGTATAATCTCTTCAGTTCTATAATAATATTTAAGGAAACTGAAAGAAAATTTTCAGATACAGCGATAATAAATGGTTCCGATGCAAGTATTGATCAAACTTTATGGATGGTGGATTTTGTTTGAATCCACAACTCTGTAACAAGTGAGACTTCTTAAATCAGCTGAAAAAGGAGTGTTATTTGTTTCCTACGATGGAGAATGTGCGAAAAGAATTGACGAAAAGAATCGTAAACGAATGTAAAGAGAAAGAAACACCAGTAACCAAGGACTTGGCCTCGTTTTTGGTAATAATCAACAAATAAAAAAAATGTTACTCTGAAGTATATTTGTTAAAGCAGCACATAAACAATAATTACAATTGTTGTTTCTGAAAATAATTTTAGTTTTCTCTGTATCAATTAAATCCAATATATCGAATAAAAGAAAACGATGAGGAGGGCAATGCGAGATTAACCCAAGCGATAATGAAGAGGCTGTGTGACCAAAGCAAGCCCAGTCTGATAACTTTGAAAAATCAATTGTACTTTGCCAAGCATTATCATAATAGAGGTAAGAAGATTTATGATTCGTCATTTTCATGAATCATATTTTTATTTTATAAATTGCTATTTATTATGTAGATTTATACTTTCTCCAGACGAAACTGTCAAAAAGCATCGATTGCGACTGCATCAAAAGACTAGACCTCTGGTTGCCGAAATTTGCGAGACTACTAAATTGGATACCGGAAAGGACACGGAAAGATTTTATCAAAAAATACTAGCAGTAATAACGCTGCTAAGCGGTCTTGGAAGTCCTGCGATCCCTTCGATTTTAAGGTATATCATATAATAATAATATACATATTCATGTTGAGATTTATAAAAATTTTAAGTTTAATAAAAATTTTAATTGATTTATAAAAATTTTAAGTTTAATTATAGCAGATAAAATCGATGATGTATTTAGGTTTTCATTTTCTTGATTATGCAAAATTTCTGAAAATACAAGTATCAATTGTTACATTATTATTGCCATTATTGAATAAAAATAAAGTTAATTTTTATCTGTAAGCTAGCATTTTTATCAATAATCGTGGCAGTTGCTATATATAAGAATAATTAATCATTACTATTATGCTCATAAAATTATTATTATTATGTTTATAAAATCCTGAATAAAAAAAGATTAATTAAAAGAATGCCCAATAATATTACAAAATGTTATTATTTGACATTTTACATTTAGTATTTTACATTTTAGAGAGGTTTCGGTAGCGTTGCAGAGCGTGTTCCAGGCTTCCGAATTAGCTCATTATGTGACTTTGCCAAAACGAGAGAAAGAAGAACAGTTGATGGAGTTGATGTGCATAGTCGCTGGAATCCGTTTATTTAACAGAGATTGTCAACGCGGCGGCGAGGGGATCGATGATTGTGAGAGCACTAATTATTAAATTTTACATTTTCAAACGATATCGAGCGAAAAAGACAAAATATACGCACGCTTTAAACGTTCATTATTTTATAATGATAAATTGCTTTCAGTGCCCAGCATCTTGCAAGAGGCTTTAACGAAGACGCGTAACTCTGTCCTTGAGTTATTAGAGCCACTAATGGCCAAGGTGTACAAATTTACAGCTGTTGTGGAAAACGCGATTACGCGCACATCGATCGACATTGCGGATGCTGACAGTTCAAAAGGAGCTACATCTGACCTGGAAGAACAGATCGAGTGGGCTATCGAAATGTTAACAGCTACTCGTCAGCAAGAGATTTACATTCGGTACCTTTCGAAAGAAATCATATAATATTTAATATACGATTGACATAATTTTGAACATGGTTTCGATTCTAGAAAGCTGTTGAGCGACGTGGAGCGCAGCGAGAGCACAATGAAAACTCTAATGGATCGTCTTCAGACACGACTCTTTAAACTGCACGATACTGTTCGATATAGAACAGCTGTTCCTATCGCTCAAGTTTACGTAAATATGACTTATTATTACCTAAAAAAATAGCTTACAATTGATGCACATAGTATAATTGTTTTGTTAACATTCTGACATTATGTTATTTCCAGGAATTGAAACTTATAGAATCTTTCCAATTTCAGTTTTGATTTTTTTTGACAGTTTCAATAAAATTTGTTTTCGTATAAACTATCTCATGATTGTTTCTTCAAAGAGATTTTCTCAGAATTTTTCGCAGAAGTTTTTTCTATTAGCAGAATTTTTATGTGAAATATAACGTTTCTTTGAAATTCACAAAAGACTAAAATAGTAAAATCTGTCTTCATCGAAATAAAAGGCTTGCTGACTCAATCATATTATGATTAATAATGTATATCTAATCTGCCTATTAGCCACAATTTATTGATCTAGCGGATATATGGATGAGTTTGCAAGATGAGGTGATTATTTTGAGCAGCATTAATAATTTCCTTTGGGAATTACAGAATTTGAGTAATAAGGTATCAATGTATATTCATCTCTGATATTAATTTAAATATATTTTTCAAATATGTATTCAGAATGATATATTTATGTCATAGATTGTTTACGATCAAACCAAGCTAGATGACATATCTCAAAATGTGGATATTTTGACTGATGCTGAAAGATTGGAACGTTCTATGGGCAATTTAATAAGTAAAAATTATATTTACCTATGGACTGCTTTGCATTTATCAAAAATTATGACAGATATTATATTTGAAAATAATTAAATTATTATTATATTATCAAAATTCTTTAAATTAGGATAAATTATGAATATATTATTATATTATCAAAATTCTTTAAATTAGGATATCTTAAATTAAGACGGCTATATTTTTTCTTATTTTGACAATGTATTTATCTTTTTTCCAGCGGAATGTGGAGAATGTTTAATATATTATCCAAATGTCATGAAGGACTTTGAGAAGATTAACTTAGAAGTAACCGCGATAAAATATTTTAAATTTATTTATAATTAATTTATCACATTTATGTTTGTATGAGTTTATAAGACTTTTAATTAGAAAAATTAATTATTTCTATATATCAAAAGATTTATGCAATTTTACTTCAAATAAAATTTCAAATAATTAATCAAAGAATATATCAGTTTTTAGGATTTTGTGCATGGACATTCGCCACGACTAAGGGTGCTTTAATACCGGGAAATCCGAACAACGGTGTGGCAAAATGGCGAGGAAAATATTACGCTTTTAAATCACCCGAAGCAGCTGTTAAATTTGGAGAAAATCCCGATAGGTATTTTTATTTATAAATAAAAGCAATAAGTTTTTTCAGCACCTACTTTTAATAGGTATGTTTACGAGGCGCTCAATTTTGTTCGCAATCATCCGGAATATATCCATCTGTTCCAATTACACGAAGAAATTGAAGCCATGCAAAGTCAAGAAGAGTGAGTTTATGATCGTATATAATCGCAATTTGCTGTGTATTTACATTTGAGATATAAAAAAATATTTATTTTTAACAAGATTGACGGAGAAAGGATTGCAATTAAAAGTTCGTCATAATCAAAAAGTTCAAACAGACGTTCACATACTTCCACCTTACATTGATAAAGATTATACTTCCAATATATGGGAATTAAAACGAAGAGCATTACGCTTGGTGAGTCGAATTTTTATTAGCATTAGAGAAAATATTCGATCAGTGAAATATTTTGATGTGTTGCAAACATATGTATTTTCGACTCTAACGATAATAATTTTACAATATTGCGTATTTTAATTAATTCATACATATAATTTTTATATTTCTTGATAAATTATTTTCTTATAAAGTGTCGTAATATATTGCAATATATTACAACACTTAAAAAGAAAATAATTTATCAAGAAATATTAAAAATTATACACACCTGCTTTATTTTTCCCCATGTGTATTTTTACTGTAGATGAAAAATATTTTATTTCACACGTGATAATTTCTCAGGCAAACATAAGTCGATGCGTTACTCGTAGTACGCAGACATTCAACTCGCACTTTCGATATGGTGTTTACGTACAAGCGTCCCCGCCTCAGGATAAGGAAGTTCAAACTAGAAGAGATAACTATACAAACACAAAGAATCTCAAAACGTTTATATTTGGTCTGCGAGGTAGACGGGATGACAATCAACATGTTGTATCGTTTTTGGAAGAGGAGCTTGAACACTTATAAAATTTAAATCAATTTTTTAAATAATTAAGTGAGTCGAATTTTTGTATACATATAAATAAATGTTTCATCAATAAATAACACTCTCATATGATGCGCATTAATCATATAACAAAAAATATAAATATCATTAAAAAATATATTTTAATAGAATCACATATTTACAGTATCGTAAATAATCAATAATACATGCGATTAATACATTTATTTAGAAATATTAATATAATAACAATAATAATATTATACATATATTATTATTGATTTATATATATGTATAATATAATATAATATATAGTACTTATATGTATATAATATTATATAATACTATATATTATTATTATTAATATATTATATATATATTAATTATACTATATATATATATATATATATATATATATATATAATATTAATATTAATTACTATATATATATTAATATATTAATTATACTATATATATTATTATTACATTTTTATATATCCTTTGTATTATTTAATTCAGAACATTAAAGGATATATATCGGACCATATTCACATAGAGGAGTGCTAGGAAATAATTGAAATAAATTATACGCAAGACGCAATTTAAAAAAAAAATGAAAGCAATACTCTTTTTAATGACACTTCCAAATACATTTCACGGAACATTACAGCTTAAACCATTTTTTTTCTTTTTAGGAAACACAATATTAGCATTATAATTTATCATTCCGTGCGCACAAATCATTTTCCTCGCGTATGCTTTCGTTATCGCAAACTGCAGGATCTTATTCGTGTGGCATTCCTCATGACTTAGGCCAGCATCTCTTTAATTTATATTCAAAATACATGAATTTTACACATGTCGAAGCTCGAACAGACGTATGCGGTTAAGATTCCGCACCTCGCTCCGTGAGCCTATTTTACTTCCTACTCTTCAACATGGCGCCAGTGACCGCTGCGCGCACTTTGACTTTAATGTGCTTATATCGTACTTTTTAATGAATATATTGTTTTACCATTAGATCTTAAATGTTAGATTTTCAATTTTTACACCAAGAAACCTATATTACGACAATAATTAGTAATTACACGATAATACAATTAAACTTTGCTTACATTTTCACGTGTATAATGTAGCTATTATACAGAAGAGGTACAGGATGATTTTCCGCATAGCTTCTCTCTTTATTTTTCCGCATTTCTTTCGAACATCCACACTTTTTCCCATTTTGGAAGTGAAATCTGTCATTCTGTTACATCCAATATTTTCAAGAAGCATTTCTTCTTAAAAGGGTAAAACAAAACGACAAAAAAAACCGTGCGATATTTTCACATTGAAGGACAATTAAGATAATCGATATAATACAAAAAAAGACGAGAAAAGATATTTCTCTAATCCATATCTCAAATATATTGAAAAATGTGCCACCAATGTGATAAATGTGTCAATTAAAATAAAAAATAAAATTTCTCAAAAAAATTACTTTCAAATTTAAATGTTTCTAGTTATTTTAAACGTTATAATGGTGCGTCGTGTTACCGCGTTTGGAGTAAGATATTGTTATTAATCATTATTAATCACGATCATACAAATGATATAACATTTATTTTGAATTAGATGACTTAAAACCAGCTTATTGACTATTGGCCACTGTAATGTCATTCACATTTCGAAATCATCTGAACGTCCATGGTAACAATTGTCCCAATGTTAGGTGGAGTCATCGGAAAACACTGGCAATTATACTTGTTATACATTATCAAAACGTTATTCCTAACATTTGTTGGAAGTCATATCTATGATACTTGGGATTAACGCATAGTATTGTAATAATCAATGGGACAAAATAATTACGATGGGCGGCAGAATACGTCGGAATGGTGTAAACATGGTCTAAAGTCTTAAGTCGCAAGAAATACGTTTGTGTTTCATGTATATATATATGTATATATATATGTATCGTGAGAAAGATGGAGAGGTGCACGAACGCACCTTGGAATATGTTATATATGTATATAACTTGTCAGAGATCGGGATTGAAATATGATTTAATCTACAAAGTGATTTTTGAGGTATTTCATCATACCAAAAGTTCTGAAGCGCTTTACGCCGATTACCTTCATTAATTCTTCATCGCAAATTGCAAATTGTTTATTCTTAGGATCCTGTAAAACACCAATCATTCTATTAGCAATTTGTAAATATTATGTGTGTATATATGTGTGTATATATGTATGTATATATGTATATATACATATATACATAATACATGAGCTCTAATTTACAACCAAATTGGTAAAATAAAAATTATAACAAGTATAAAAGTTTTAAATAAGTGATTACAAATAATGATACTTACATAAAGATTTCTTTCTTTAATGATACTCCATACTTTCTTCACGACTTCATGTCGAGCCATTTGTTCTGCGCCGACAACTGCAGCGAGTTCTGGAGATAGCGTGATGGCGCGTGTATAACCACCTCCCTTGCCTTTACCACCACCACCCTTCTTTGCCGTACTTCCTGGAGCTTTTTTGTTTTTACCCCAGTCCTCATCACTATCACTATCGCTTCCCTTCTTTTTTCCCTTCTTTCCAGGCTTATCTACAGAAAAATTGATTTTTTAAATAAAATCTTGATGTAAAATAATAATAATAAATAATTATACATATATATAATAAAAATTATATATTTTACTTTTTTTGGGTGTAACTTTAGGTTTCTTTGGGCTGTATTCTTCGTCACTAGCATCATCATCACTAGCGCTTTCTTCATCATCGGAGGAACCCTTCTTACGTTTATTAGGAGCTTTTTTAGCAGGATTTCGTTTGGCTGGTTTCTTTTCTTCCTCTTCCTCTTCCTCTTCGGATCCTTCCTCTTCCTCCTCTTCACCATCTTCAGATTCTTCGCTAGCAGCTTTTTTCTTTTTCTTTCCTCCATCTTGTTTTTCTTGAAGACATTCCATGACTAAATCATCCACCTCTTTCTTCCTATAAAGAAGAAAACAATTTATAAATATATGTCATCAATCAATATTTAAAATAGAAACGATATTGTATATAAACTAAAATGTCAGAGGAGGAACGAGGTGGTAACTTATATCTATTTATTATTTCAGCTCCACTCAGAAATCCTCTTTTTTTTCTTGGACACTGAGAGACTCTCTTCTGCACTATTTTACAGTGCACAAGTGCCTATTGTATGTCCATTTTCAATTTTTATTCATTCCAACAATAATGCGTACATTCAGTTACATGCTTACTATCTTAACAGATAAATTGTCATAATAATATAATCTCATTAAAATACGTCATGCATATTTATCTATTCTTTATCAGTATATTTTATTAATATACAATTTACAATTAAAATTGATTTACACTGACAATACAACAAAATATACGATGTAAGATATATTATAGGATATAATATATAATAAGAAATATTCTTTTTTATATATTATATAAATGTATTCACACAAATTACATTAATCCTGTGTATAGTATATGAAGAAAAGAACAAGAAAAAGTAATTTGGGTTGATAAAAAATAATAGTCTTTATGGGTAATTAACAAATTAATAACAAATCTACCGTAACTAAATATATTTTATATGGGATCTTTGATCTTATATTACACAATGCAATAAATCAATTGAAAATTAAAATTGCTGCCACTGCCACATATACATTTGTCATTTGCATATATACAAATGCACGTTAATTTTCTACATTACATACTATAAATTAGCTTTTAATAGTTTTAACATAAGAAAAATATTTTACATTTGTAATCACATTTTCTATTTATTGCTTACCTCTCTATAAGATCAACATCAAGTTTCTCTTCGATTTGTTGCCTCACTTTTTTAGCAGACATTGTAGTGAGATCAGCATCCTTGAGGATAGCTAAACAAAATTAATAAACATATATTAATACATGCGTGTCAAGATATTTTACTTCTCTCGAAACGTTTATCGAGAAAAACTCTGAAAAATCCGCCAAGTTTCCAACACCAACTCAAACATACATTGCATAATCTTTATTCAAATTATCAACATTAATTATGAAATACGATTCGCGGAGTGTTTATTTATGAACTTTATTCAGGACTTCCATCGAGAGACGCATACGTCGTAAGTTTATTTTCTGCTCCAATTTCCACGTTCAAAAAAAAAAAAAAGAAAAAAAAAAGAAAAAAGAAACAAAACAAAAAAGAGGATTAAAAAAAACCCTACGAAGGAAGGATGAATGCATCGAGGGAGTACGTCGCCATTCATCGCACACGTACGCGGCGCGTCTCGCGCGTGTGCGTGATCTGGGGTATAGTACGTTTTCCCGCGTCGGAGGATCTAGTAAATATCGAGCGCAAATGGCCGCCTGGCGCGCGCGGTGCCGGTCACCGCCGATCGGCGGCTAGGTCGGAAGGAAGGATATCTGGAAGTACGCCACGAAGCGACGAGGCGACGCGTGGAACGGGACGCGGAGGGATTTTTCTCCGCGACGTGACGCGGTCGATCGCGGATGTCGGCGCATTGATTCCGGAAAAGATCGAAAACCGCGAGAAGAAGACGGGAAGAAGGGAAGAAAGAGAAAGAGAGAGAGATAGATAAGGCAGCGAAGCGCGCGGAGGGAGCGCAGGTCGCGCGCGCGCGCGCGCTCGGTCGATTCACGCGGCGCTCTCGCCGAAAATCTCTAACGAAAAAATACGCGCGCGCGCGCGCGCGCACTTGCGCTCGTTGCAATCGTTAATCGCCGCTGCGCTGTAAATTGCAACGGGCGAGTCGTAACGCTTGTAATGGCGCGAGGCGGTGGGAAAAGATAGCGAATCGACAAACATCTCGGGGCAGAGGAGCACGGTGACGACGACGACGACGACGACGCGTATGCACGTACACGTACGCACGTATGTATGTGCGCGTAGTGGCGGTTATAACCAATGACTATCCAATCGGCGATACGCGAGAGGCGCGCAAAGGAGGGAAAAGGGCAACGCGCGCGCGCTCGGTTCCGATCGACGAAGAGTATCTCTCTCGAAGGAGATTCGCACATTCGCAGGAACACGCATTCTTTTTTCCCTTTTTTTTTCTTATCAACTGCGACGCAAAGATTCATCGTGACGCGGGCGAGTCGAG